CCTGGTTAGCAGGAAGGATGGCTTGAGTTTTCCAAGCTCCTTGTATGCATGAACAATTTCTGCCTCCATGGTAACAAAACAAAAATAAAACCCACTGTCTTCTTTCTACCTGTCTTTGGAGGGTGTCCCTCATGTCCTTCTGCCATCAGGATCAGGAGACTGCTGTGAATGTCTGCTTTCCTGAAAGAAGCAGCAGGGATTTCTCTGTTTCTCTATCACAGGCTTATTTTATACCAATTATGAAATGGTAGCTAAAGACAAAAGCAGTAAAAAGACAACAGATAGGTGATGTATTGAAAAATTGATGAGAATCAAACACGACTGACTCTTAAAAAATAGAATATCAGACTGCCTATTTGAAAAGAAAGAAAAAAAAAATTGCTATAAAAATAACCAAGGGGTTTCCCTCTCTTTCTTTAACAAAAAGGAGTTTGAAGTCAGTGATTCAGTCTCCTGAGAAGTCGCTGTTTCTGCCTTGAGGGAGCCCCAAATAATTTCCCTGTGAGATTTGGGAGCCAAGTTCTGACTTTTTATGTGAGAGTTTCATTCTCCTGCAAAACAGTGCAAGTCGAAGGAAAAAACCCAGGAAGATGTGATAATTAAATATGGAAAATTTCTGATGAGTGTCTTAACTGGAAAAAATGTCACATATGCAAGTCTGATTTGGAAGGGGATGTGAGCCGGGTTGTTAGGACAGATAAGTCTTTCTGATGAATTATAGTGGCTTAGTGGCACTGAGAAGAAACTGAATACTCCTTGTTCTATTTTCTGGATGAATTAGTTTCTTCCCATCTGTTCCCAAGGATCAGTGACATTTTCCTAATACATCCATGGTTTTTTGACATATGCCTGTAGATGCTCAGTGCAATAGGAGCCCAGCTTTAACCCCTAACAGGTTTTGTCTGGTTTCATACCAGGTGCTGCACCCCTGTATGTCCCATTGGGCATGCACTGACATGGGGTGAGATGAACTGGACCAGACCACCCCATGGCCGTGCTGGAACAGAAGCAAGACATCACAAAACCATTATTTCCTTTCTAGTTTAACCAGTTCAAACCTCGGTTAAGGAAATTACCTCTCTTCTGGAGACATTCATCAGCTTTTGCTTGACTTCTGACAAATTAAATCTCTTGTAAAATATTTAATGGAATAAGATGGTTTTACAAGAACCTCAGGGTTACAAGACCAGTGATGCAAGAAGTAAGCAAATGCCAAAAGTAAAGCTGCAGGGGCTGGTTTAAACCCTTCCCTTCCTGTGTTCATAAAAGGACACAGTCATAGTGTTACAGATCTGGGAGGAACATACAGACCCCTTTAACATTATGTAGAGGCCCTTATCGGAGATGTAAGAGCATAATAAAGCTGGTGTCGCACCTTCCCTCCAGCACACGCCCAGCTCCCCACATGTAGGAGGAGGGCTGCAGTGGCTGAAGCCATCAGGACTGTGTCCAGGGTGATTCTGCACTGGAGATGCAAACCCAACCTTCTCTGAGCATATAAAAATGCAAATTTTGGAAAGGCTTTATCTTATATCAATGTATGGAGAATTTTAATGTGCCCCGTGACACCAGGATAGCCACCCAGGAAACATCTTCACGTGCCAAAGGGCTTAGGCTCTTGCTTCTTAGAGAACTGGTGTGAGGCTTGTTTTAACTCCAATAAAGCAATGTATTTTCCCATCTTTTGTTCCAGACACTGCTGATTGGTTTCACTGAAGTGTTGATTAAAAAACCTGTATCACATCAAGACAGACACCATCATGAGAAATTTCAGCCCAACTGGCTCATATTTAATCATGTGCATATGGCATGTTAACAGCATACGGGACAAGTCAACTAATTAAATTAGACTTATTTTATTCAATAATTTATGGTTAGTTTTACCAATATTTCTAATAATGTCACAGCTAACACAAGAGTTTTCAAGCATCCTTGGAAACTCTGATTGAACTTGATTCAGGATAAGGGACTTCTGTGATTACAAACTCCAGTGTCGCAGAGTTTATTGCTAAAATACAGGACTGCTTGGAGGTACACACACATCTGAAACTAAAAATGCAAGTGAATTTATGAGACAGATGAAGGCAAAAAAAAATTGGGTTTCAGAAAGTCTTCTGGATGATGTGGGTGACCTTCCCACAAGCAATAGCAGAATACAAAAGAGAACCAACTATTGGGTGTTATTAAGTGGGGCTCTGTGCTGTGGGTTTCTTCCGTACTTAGCTGCTGCACAGGCATGGGAAGCATCTGAGTTAAAATTTGCAGCAATTCTAAATTCTCAAACAACTTGACATCTTAATTTTGTATGTAAGAGTGGAGCTTTCACAGTGACTCCATTAGGCTTTGGGGGAGGATAATTGTGCTTTACTAGTTTAGAGGGAGGTGCATACTGGGGGGATGAAGGACTGATGAACTTTAAAAGTGCCTTTGAGAACTTGGAGAGAGGAGAACAAAACCAGGAAA